CGGTAGCGGCGAGGGTGTTTCACAGTGACCACACGGCAGCAGTGCAGCGCCTGCCAGGCTGCCAGCGCGCCACGCCAAAACAATCCCAGAGTATTGCGACATTGCTGAGTGGCACCCCCAGCCTCTTTAGCTCCACGGCCAGACTTCGGCGGCGCAGCTCTGTCTCTCTCGCACCTTCACGGAACGCGCCTGGCGTGCGAGGAAGACAGAGAGACGAAGGCGGATTGTTTCGCCGTCCGGATCGTTCGGCCTGGCGCGCGATTTTGCGTCCCGTCCATTGGGCAACGCTCCGGCGTCCGCCCCGTTCCGTCCGCCCCGTTCCGTCCGCCCCCGGCGCGGCGCGGCCGCCGGCAGTCTGCTGACAGTTTGACAGGCCCGCCGCCCCGCAGGACCACCAGGTCCGCGGGGACCGGCAGCCCCACGGCCGCCCTGCCCCGCCACCCACCGCCCAGTCACCGCGGCGTCGCGCTGCAGCGGGCGGTGAGGCCACGTCCCTGTCCCCGGCCATGTCGACCAGGTGCTGCGCGACGCGCGACCCCCCGCCGGTCCGGCGCCTCACGGCGTTGTTTGGTTTCCCCAGTTTTCCCTCGCGAGATAAGCATCGTCCTGCTGCACGGCATTCACGGCACGGCATGCACGGCGTTTCGTCGCACGCTTCTGTCTCTGTCGCACTCACGGGGTGTCCCGCAGGCGTGCGAGGGAGACAGAGCATCGGAACGACACTTGGGAATGGCTCGGCTGCACGGCCCGGTGGCTCCATTCCTTCAAATTCGATTAATTGGGCGGGCCGCCCCACGCCGTCGTCAAGTCGGGTCGCTGACGCGCTGACGTCCAAGAATGTCTCGCCTGGCTTGGCCTCATGGCTTGGCCAGCCTGGCTGGCTTGGCGACGGCTGCACTGCAAGTCGACGCTCCTTCCGAGCCCATGGCTGCCCATGGCTGCCCATGGCACTTCGGCGTTGCAGCGTGGCCGACAGGACCACTCCCACTAGAGTCGGGCGGGGCGGGGCGGGGCGGGGCGGGGCGGGGCGTTCCGCGGGTGCCGGGTGCTCCGCGAGGCGAGGCGCGGCGCGGCGGCGTGGCGGCGTGGCGCGGCAGGAGGACGAGGCTCTTCTTTAAAAAGGCCCCTGTATACGTGTCTAACGCTTGATCGATGAGCTGTACCCGGCTGCTGCCAGCCTGCCCGGCCTGCCCGGCATGCCCAGCCTGCCTAGGGTGTTATCGGCGTCCGTGTGTCCGCGACGACGTGCGCGCGTGTGTGCGTGAGTGTGTGCAGGGGACGACGTCAGCTACACCGTGGCTTTGCCAGTCGCGCCGTCTAAAAGCCGAGAATTTCCTTGACGTGCCGAACACACGCACACACACAAATTGTGTGAATGAATGGGGAGGCTGCGTACGCATTAGCCGAACCATGAACCATGCATGCTGTTCGCTTCAGAATTGGTGGCTCTGTAAATTTAGACATTTGCTGCGCGTTTTTTGTAACCATTTCGCTTCTGCTTGCTGCTCGCAGAGAAAGAAGCTGTTGCTGGTTCATTTTATCAGATTCACGATACGATATACATCTAAAATCCATTTTGCTCTACGCGCAGAAAGTGCACGGCCCCAGGGCGAGCCAAGGCAAGCCCGCCGCTAAATCCGCTCTGGGATTGGCAATGGCGGACCCTGCCAAGGCCTCCAAGGCCTCCAAGGCCTCCAAGGCCCTGCGGACGAGAGGGCTGGAAAGGCTGAAGGGCTTTCCCCGGGGCGGGCGAGGCTGATGGCGAGGCTCATGGCGAGGCTAGCCGAGGGGCCCACAGTGGGTGGGCGTGGCGCCGGGGCGCCGGTGGGCCCCCACCCCGCCAGTGTGCCGCACTCTGCCACTCCACTCTGCTCTGCCATTGCGGCTGCCGGGCTGGGCTGCCGCGGCCCGGATCTAGATTGGAATCTCTGCCGATTGAAAGCCGAAGGCGGGCCGGCGGGCTGGCTGCACTCTCCGGGCGGATCCGGCCACTCTCCGCCCCTCCACCTTCCCGGCCCCGCGGCCCCGCGGCCCCGCGGCCCCGCCCCCGGGATTGGCTCCGAGGCCCGCGAAGGGCGCCTCGCTGCACACTCGTTCCTTCTCTCTCGCACTCGTGGGAGTCCCGCTCAGACGCGAGGGAGAGAGACAGACCGACGGCCGCACTGGGGAAACCCTGCAACGCTCATTGATGCAAAAACGAATCACGGAAAAATCTTTCAATTCGTTTAGCACGACGACGTGCCAATGGCCGCCATCTCCGCCACATGCAAATGCAGTGTACCACGCAGCAGCGGAGTCGCCATCGCGGTCGCCTCGCTCTCGGAGGAGACCCGGTGTTGGATGGCCCGGGGCCCGGGCCGCCACGCGTGGGGGAGGAAGGGAGGAATCAATTGGCCCGATGCGCCCCTCCGACGCCTCCGACCTCCGATTGGCCGCAATGATCGGGTTGACGCGTTGACGCGCCGCGGTGATGTCATCGCGCGGCGGCGTGGCCCATTGATTCAAGGGGTGATGACTCGCCTGTCAACACGGCCGTGTCTGGCCGCACGGCCCGCACGCACAGAGCGCACCCCGCCCAGCCCGGCCAATCACTGCGACGCCCCCAGTAATTACACTGTCAAATTCACACAAAATAAACGTACGGGTTCCAATTTTGGGGGGCCAAAATTGAGCCGAACGAAACGTCATTTCGTGAATAAGTTTTTGTCCAATCGCAGAAAATTTTGTTCCGAAAACAAACGTTTAGTTGGCAGTGCAAAAAATTCACGACAGAAGGTCGTGACGTGCGACTCCTTGTCTTCGTGAGCTGAGACGTGCGGACGGTGGGCGCGGGTCTGGGGCGGGGTCGCACTGGCCCGGGACTGGCCGGTGAGGCTGACACGCGGTCCAGCTTGTAACTCTTTCCCCTTGCTGCCCTGCAGGCTGATTCCGAACTCGTCCCTCTGTCTCCGTCGCACCCCTCAGGGACACCTCACGAGTGCGAGAGAGGCGGAGCGACCGAATCCCTGTCCGGAAGCAGACCGCTGCTGTCAGGACAAGCAGAGCACACTGCTGGACGACATGTCGTGCACGGCCTCGGGCGCCTCGGGGGATGGAAGGCTGCGAAGGGCTGGCGCTGCTGGCGAGCAAAGCACCGGTGTCGTCCCGCGTCCGCGCTAAGCCCCGGTGACATGCAGGGCGTCCCTTGCGGTGGTCGAAGGCCTCCCTCGCCCGAACGCTGGCACTACCGCACCAGCCAAGTAGAGAGCTCAAATTGATTTGCCTTGCTACCGACACAAGCAACGCTCAATCCGACGGGACCGCTTGCGTGCAACCGCAACTTTTGCTGAACTTGAACCAAATAAGCCAGACGTCCCTTTTCTCCATCATTGTGGCCCCAGGCAGGCCAGGCAGGCCGCAGGTGCACTTGTCGCCACGGGAGACGCGAGGACAAGGATGCTGTCAGCCGGGACGGGCCGGGACGGGCTGCCTCTGGCTCCCTCGGGACCTCCGCGCCTCGTACCGTTGCATTCCGACGCGTCCTTCGTCCTTCAAGGCCCGGCTTCCGCGAACGCCCACCTGCACGCGGAGAGCCTCGCAGAGCCTCGCAGAGCCTCCAAGGGGTGGCCGTGTTGTTGACCTCCGCGGCCTGGATGGAGCAGAGGGCAGCAGACTGTGTGCCTCTCTCTTGCACTCATAGGATGTCCCGTTGGTGCACCGGGGATGTTTGGCTGTGAATGGGCGGACGTTGACGTCTGTGTCGATGAGGACGAGGACGAGCACCGCAAGCAGGACAGGGCTTGGATGGCTTGGCCTGGATGCCGGGCGGCCGCGTCCGTCCGTCCCGTCAGTCTCCGCGTACTCTGAAGGCTGAATCCTGAATCGCTGCCCGCTGGCTTGACGGTGCTTGACGGCCACGCCGCGGGGTGCCCCCAGTGACACCGACGCTCGCCCCGAGGTGCCCCGGCCAGGTCGACGGGGTGGTTCGGTTTGACGCCTGCCAGTCCAAGCAGTCCGCCGCAGTGACACGTCGATAGATACAATGAGAGGCACAGCCCGCGCACAGCCCGCGCCACAGCCAACGAAAGCTCAATTTGAGAGGGAGCGCGCCGCTTGGGGCACTTGGGACCGCCAACGCCAACCACCCCAGCCACGGCGTGCAGCCTGCTCGCAGCCTGCTCCCAGCTCGCACCCCTCCGAGTGGCACTCTCTGTCCATTTCCCCTTCCCTCCCCCTTCCCTCTTCGAAAAAGGCTCCTGGTCAAGTTTGATAGCAATCGCAGGAGGGAAGGGAGTCCACCACGCTCGAGTCCCGTCCGGGCGCCCGCTCGCCGCTCGGCCCGACCAGACAGCCGTCAAGATGTTGTGATACGCTCCAGTGAGGCAAGGGGATGGGGGCTACACGCACTCCACTATCCCCTCCTCCTTCCTCTCTAGCCACGCCTCGAGCAGCCTCGGGATCAGCCTCGATCAGCCTCGAGCGACTTGGCAATTTGGGAGTCTGAGGAGCGGAGTTTGACTCATTCGAAATTTAACGATCAGAAGTTGACTTCAGCGCCATCGCAGAACCTGGATGAGCAGCGCAAGCGTAGTTCCATTCGTTCGTTCATTCATTCATTCGTTCTTTCATGCATCCGTCCGTCCATTCATTCACGCGGCAACGCGTGCTACACTTGCGTGTGAGAAAAACGGAAAGTCATTGCCTTCGGGCGCTGCGCTGCGGCAGCACAGGCAGCACGTGTGTGGTGCGCCAGTGGCACGCGCGTGCTCTACCACCCGCGGTCGCGGCACTCGCGGCACTCGCGCGGTGGTGGCGATAAGTACGGGGTACCGGCGTGTTGCGGGCTGAAAGGCCCTGATGATTCAATATGTATACGAAGTACGAAGTAAGCAGGAACGTGGATGTGGGTGGAGTGGAGTTTGACTCGCTGGAAAATGAGGGGGTACCGGGGGTGGGAAGCTACCAACTTGAAGCGTGCGAGCGTTTCTTTTGACCCTGAAACACATCCTCTTCTGTTGCAGCTCCGAAGGTGGCTGCGGAGGCGCTGCGAGAACTGAGCTGTGGCGGTGCGGGCGGTGCGGGCGGTGCTGGCGGCGTCGCTGCGGGTGTGGGCGTGAGCTTCGCGGGGGTGGGCGGCGCCTCGCTGTCCGCGGGGGCGTCCCCGGCCGGCGTCGGCCCCGCGCTGTCGCTCAGCCCACTGAGCCCCGCCCCTAGCTGCTCCGCCGCGGCGCTGCTCGCCAACTCGGGCCGCACCAACTTCACCAACAAGCAGCTCACCGAGCTGGAGAAGGAGTTCCACTTCAACAAGTACCTGACGCGAGCGCGGCGCATCGAGATCGCCTCGGCACTGCAACTCAACGAGACGCAGGTCAAGATCTGGTTCCAGAACCGCAGGATGAAGCAGAAGAAGCGGCTCAAGGAGGGCCTGGTGCCGCCGGACATGGCCATCTCCGCGACCGCGACGTCCGCGACGTCGACGGGCAGCAGCGGCAGCTCGGCGTCGTCCCCGGGGGGCGGCCCCGGCGCCAGCCACACCTCCGCAGGTTCGGCGGGGGGCGGCGACGACAGTCAGGACAGTCAGGGGCCTCTCGGGCTGCACAGCCCCCCGCTGTAGGGGTGGCGCCCTCGTGCGCCCTCGCTCGTGTGAACAGACATTCCTAACGTGCTCAATCCACCTTCCGGCTGAGTTTGTTGTGTGTAGTCATAGATTGGCGCTATCCCTTCTCCCTCGTATCGCAGCTGGCGACCCTCTAGTCTGCTTCGGCAAAGTGTATAGATACCCAGCAGCTGGCTTTATGTTAAGATAAGTCCGAGTCTTCGTCGTGTTGTGAACAGTGCTCGCCCGAACCGTCTTGTAAATAAATGAAATGGACGAGTGGGGACAATTGCTTCATGTTCTTTCCTTTGTTTTGCCCTATGCTCAATCTTGAGACTAAGTGTATGTCATGCAAACTTTGTCTGATTTTTTGTCCACTGTTCTTAACGTCAACAACATAATGGTCAAGAATTTTTTTGTTTGAAAACTCGGTTGTGATAATTGACGCTGTTGGTGTCATAATTAAGCTTGGTTACGTTTGCCTAGTTGTTAATTCCTGTGTAAATATACTACATTTAGACTAACACACTCTTTCAGCGTGAAGGGTGTCCCTCCACGTTTCGTAGTTATTTATTTTATGAAACATTGTAACTCCCGCGTGTACCTTCCATATCATATTCCGTGTAAAATTTTCTGTTAAAAACAATTTTTACTTATCCTAAAATGTTTGTGGTCTGATCGGAAAGGCTTTGGAAATAACGACGCTCTAGAATTTAGCTCTCTAAAAATTATAATTGTGGCATTTCATGGCTTTAGACCATCCGTACATTTGTTAAAGAGTCAACATGTTCCCTCAAAAATGGATGCCGTGTGCTATCACGTGTATGTGTGTACAAACTCGAAAATAAATGCGATACTGCAAACGTCTGCTCGTCTCATGTGACTTCCCTTCGTCCGTGACGAACATTGTCACCACAGAAAGGGGAGGAAAACAATGAGTCACTGTGTGCCGGCACAGAGACCCTCTCTAGCACAGCAGGCACCGGAACCGGACTTGTTTTGTGTTCGGACCCGAAAAGGAAGAGGTACGGATCCAGGATTTTCAGGGGTAAAGCAGTGCTTTTTGCCTACTCACGGGGCGACGTAGTGCTGGTTGCCGGCCTTCCAGGCGTCTTGCCTAGCATCTAAAGAGGGTCCAAGTATCCCGCCCCCTTTTCTTATCTCGGGATCCCCCCGAAACGCAAAGGATCATTTGTGAGACAAAGTTATTATTGCATATTGCAAGCCACGATGAGTTATCTAGTGATCCACGGGCCCGAAAAGTGGTCACTTCTCGCGATCTTCCAGAACTCCCCTTACAAGCATAAAAATCCCCCCCTCCCTCCCCCCCCAAAAAAAATCACGACTTGTGCCTTTTGTGCACACTGGTTTGAACTGAAGGCAGCGGGCTTTGAGCAACACGATTATATACGATTAGAGGGATTAGAGAGGCGAGCGGCAGCCGCCGCCACGTGTATTTTTCATACGACACTCTGCCGCGGGGAGTAGCGGGGAGTATCGACTCGACACTAGAACCGTTCAATCGTTTTCATACGGTACGGTAGTTCTTATGCATGAACTGTCTATTCCGTGAAGTTTTCCTTATAATTTACGCCTTTAGGATAGTATGTGGCATTTGGTTATTTTGCAGTTGTTAAGTGACAGGGAACATTTTCATTGAATACCGATCTGTTCATGATCTAACCTAAGTTTCCAACTGGGATGTAAACAACGATCATTAACTATTTGTTTTCGTGTTGTGTGATCTTTGGATGACGCTCAAGAAATCATGGAATCTGAATATTCTTCACGAGTATTTTCCGTTAGTGAAATGATAATCGAGGTAATCTCTGTGACTAAATCCATGCCTTTCTCCACCCATGCCTTTCTGAACCATCGGATTTGTTTTTCATGAAATTTATTATTACAATTATTATTGAGCGAGAGGCCTTTATTTTCCAGGTTGAAGATGGGCCAGAAAGTACATTAAATAGTAGTTTAGATCCTAAGCGACCGTCCGTTGTCGTACTGTGTCCAAGAATGTTTTGTCGGATGGCTCAAAAAATTGCCAAAACAAGGATGCTATTCTCACTAGTATGAATGATGCTGCCATTGAAGAAGAAGATTGTGATATCATATTTGAAGAGTGTACAGTTCCAATGGACACTGAGAACTCTGGACGAGACGAAAAGGAGGGAAGCGCCACATCCGACCCACTCAAGCCCAATATAAAATTAAAGAAAACTCAAGTTTCAAAAACCAGCACATGCATTAAGGCTGTTGAGCCTGGGAACATAAGAGCTTCTAAGGAGAAGAATAATGTTCAAAAGAGACAATTGAGTCAGTTTCAAGAAATGAAGAGATGAATATAAACATTTCTGAACTAAATCCTTCTACTCTTCAGGATGAAGGTGACGCTTCATTCTCACATTCCATCGAGCAGTCTAAAGTCTCAAAGCGAACTAGAAAACCCACTCAGGTAAGGACAAATTTTGGCAGTGCACCATCCTTTTCAAAATGTGTTCTCCTCCTCTGTCTGTAAGAGTTGCCATCCATCAAATTTACTCATTGATCAAATTTCTATACTTCTTTGAACATTTTTGGAGGGAAACAAATTATCACCTCAAGAACAGGACATTATGTAGTTTCTGCAGGCATATGAGGAATGAATAAGAAAGGGAAGGATGCCTCAAACCTTTTAATTAATTAGAATTTTTATTCACAGTTTACAAAAATTTAACAGAAATTTTGGAATTTGAGGGGGAAAAGTTCATTATTTATACAATCTTTATCGCCTGCTTTTACTTTTGTATTCAGGAGAAGGAGAAATGGAAGGAGGTCTCCGTTTCTGATGGCGTGTTGGGGATTGATATCTCGATTCGTGTCTATCACTTTCTTTTTTCCTCTGGTTAGGTTTGTTGGTATCCCTCTCTTTCCTTGACCTGTAGTCAGTTCGACTTTCTCTCTCACGATGCTTTATTTGATCTGCAATGAAAGGTGGTGGACTCTAACACTCATTCAAACAGTTAAAACAATAAAATCCATTTTAGGTAATTTGCAAGTATTACCTGATTCACGTGAAGTATTAGGAGCCAGGTCCATTTCATCATATGGGTCAGGTGAAGCCTCTCTTTGTTTCTGAAATACTTTGTTGCCTTTCTTCTCAGGGGATTGAGCAGGTCTCTGTCTGTCCTTTTCCCTTTTCGAAAACTTTTTATCAGATTTATCATGAGATTTATTTAAGTAATCATTTTCATCTCTACCATCACGTTCTCTTTTTGGTGATCGGCTTCTATTTTTCTTTTCGTAACGATCAGTTTGTCTTTCTCTCAACTGAAGTTGGGAGTTATTTTCCTGCCTTGTGTGCCATTTCTCACGTAGAGGTGATGATCTGCTTCTGCTGTATTTGCCATGAGAATCTTGTCTGTCCTCTCCTTGATGTTGAGAATGTCTTCCTTCTTTATCAATCTGCATTTTCTTATATGGAGAGGGTGATTGACTTGTGTTATCTCTGTCATGTTGTCCATTTTGTCTTCCTCTTGATTGTGGTTGGGCATACTTGTCTTCCTTTATGTCTGATTTCCTGTGAGGAGATTGCGGTTTGCCGTTCTTGTCCCGCTGTTTAACACCTTCCTTTTCCCCTTCATCTCTTGTTTCCATTCTCCTATGAGCCGAAGCTCTCTTGATACTTTTATCAAATGTCTCTTCTTCGCCCAGAGAGTGTTCCTTTTCTTTCTTTTTTTCCCTTTCACTTCTAGCTTGCTGTTGCAAACCTGAATCTTTAGTAGATTGCTTCTTGTGTTTTGATTTCTCCTTCTTTTTTGATTTTCCTTTTGAATCTCCTTCCGAATCACTGCTGCTGCTGTCACTACTGCTGCTGCTGTCACTGCTGCTGCTGCTGCTGCTACTTGAGGAACTGGAACTGCTAGAGCTGCTGCTGCTTGAGTCACTCGAGTCGGAATCACTGTCTGAATCACTCTCTCCTTCAGATTTCTTCTTTTTGTTGGCTGCAGTTGGTTTGATGCCCCTGAAACAAGACAGATGAGTACAAGGTACATCCCTATACCAGGTTGTTCAGTTCAAACTTGCAATTTTCTAAGGGTGCTGTCCCCCCACTCACTCACAACTCCTTGCGAGTGTTGCGGCCATGCTTGGGGCTGGGGGGCAAGCATGCTAACAAAAATGCTCTGCTGAACTGAATCATCTGGTATTCTGTTCAACTGAGAAATGTTTTTGGCAAAACTGTACTTACAGTGCCTCCATCTGGGCTTGTTCTTCTTTCATTTTCATCCTTTTGTTTAGCTGAGAAGTCCGAGATGTACGATGTACATACTTTCTCTTGTTTTTACATTCATATGTCCAATGGCCGAACTCCAAACATTTTTGACACCGAACTCCTTGAGGATACGGATTTCTATACAATAACATAGATAAGAAATTGTTAGGAATATTTTAGCACAATAAATCCACTGTAAGAATCTACAATGTTACAACATATATCAAATATCAATTCTTTAAATATTATAACACCTACAAGGTTTTTGTTATATTTTTTCACTTTAATTTCCATTGAAAACCTGAAGTTTGGTGCTGAAGTTCAGAGCTCCATACATAACCTACGTAGTTGTTGTTAACTCAGAAAGCGAACTTACTCTTTTTTTCCAATCGCACCGGACACAGCTCCTTTGGCCATTGATAACATTTTGTCACAGGATCAAAAGAAACAAATAAAAGAACGTTTTCTTTGCGTAGTCAGTCGGCTCAGTTCTAACCTAAACTGTCTGACGCCAACATCGCCCTGCGCCTTCCTTCCTTCCCTTCCCTTCGCCTTTGCCTTCTGCTGCGCGTCTGGTCACGTTTTGCCAACAGTGTAACATGTTTCAACTTTTTATTTCCAATTTTTTTGTGCTGGTTTTGGATTGATTTTTGTTTGCTTGCCCTAAAAATATTCTTTGACCAGTTATTTAACGTACTGTCAGATGTGAAAGAAAGTATTTGGCGTTGTAGCAGGGAATGGGTCTGTGAGGATAGAGATGGGGGGATGGTGAACCTGGTGAACCGTGTGGGCGGTTGTTTTTGAACTAAACTGTCTGATGATGTGATACCTGTGATGCCAAAGAATTATTGATTGTATATGTTGTTACAGAAAATGGCTGAGTACATTTGCAGGCTTTGCGAGCTTAACTCTTACAACCTAATAAAAATATTTAGCGCACAAGGAAATCAGTTGAAGTTAGCTGACAAGATTCACTTCCACTTGGCCATTAAGGTAAGCCTCCTTTGATGATATCCTTTTAGCTTGAGAGTGCTTTTATTGTTGTTGGTTTTAATTACCCATTGCTTTACCTCCTTTAAAAAAAAAACAGGTGACACGCACTGATAAACTGCCTTTGGCCATATGTGCCCTATGTGTTAATGCTTTAAATGTCTGCAATGATCTTTACCAAAAAAGTCTCAGTGCCGATAGTAACTTGCGCAAGATTTTCCTGAATGAAAATCAAACCACAGTAATTTTCTTTTCTCTTAATTTGTGGTTTTAGTAGCAAGGATCATTGTATCTGATTTTGAATTGTTCTCATTTTCAGCTTCAGTCTGTAGAGTCTCTAGAAAAACTACAGCCAAAGACATTTAGCAATGCCATTCCTTCTTCAAGCAAAGATTCTGACCTAAGTATGCTAAATTTTTTACGGCACAACAGCTTATGATTGTTTTCCGCTAGTGTGTTTTCCTCATTTCATTTTAATGTTATCTCTTTCAGGTGAAACACAAATCATAGATGCTCCATTAGTACAAAGTAATTTGCCTGTTCCTAAAAGTAAGAGTAAAGGGAATAAGAAAGCTAGCTCTGAAACTAAAGCAGCCGAAATCCCTGCACATTCTAAGGAAAAAATTAAAAAACCTGAGCTGCCAAAAATATTAGTAAGTAACTTTTTCCAAGAAGTCAAGACGTTGTATGCAAATTGTCATACTGTCATTTTATTGTACTTTCTATTTTTTTACATTCTATTTAAAGTGCATGGCTGTCTTGTTTGTTACATAGGATAACAGCGGTGATTCAGTCGAAGCTGATGCGGCCACAGTACTTTCTGAAGATGAAGAAGAAAATTTATGGGGCCAGGATGATGACGAAAATAACAGTACAAAAGAGTCTACTTACACATGTGACTTATGTCCAGAAGTTTTCGGAAAACGTGCAGAACTCTCCATACACAGGTAAATATATTTTGTCAATTTTTTTGAAGGAAACTATTGTTTCAATCTATCACTTAATAACAAAAATTACTTGCAGGAAAACTCATCCCCCTGAGGAAAGGTTAAGATGCCACTGTGGAAAAGTTATGCCAAATGATGGAAGTTTTCAAACTCATCAGAAGACGCATACATTCACTGCACATCCATGCCACATATGTGGTAAAATTCTAGCAAGTACCTCTGGATTGCGAGCTCACATACTAGCCCATGGAAACCCAAAGTTCTGTTGTGAGATTTGTGGAAAGTCAACTCATACTTTGTAAGTTATGATTTGGATCCATTATTATGATATGATTAATATGATAATGATCCACTAATTAAGATGGACTCATAAAAGACAAACTTTAGCTTGTCAGTCTTGATTATTTACACAACTCTTCATTAAATTCTTGTAATTTATTCCATTGTTATCTTCCACTTCAGAGCTAAGCTTCAGTCACACAAGGCTTCACATTCTGATGAAAGACCTTTCTCATGTGAAGTATGTGGCCAATCATTTAAGCTAAAGTGTACTCTGAAGCAGCATGCTTTCACTCACAATGAAAGAAGACAGTTTGTTTGTGAAATCTGTGGACATGCTGTCAACCGACAAAGTCACCTAAAGAATCATATGAGATCACATCAAGCCAAAGATTACAAGTAAGAAAAGGTAATTTGTATGTATAATATGTTTCTTCCCATGCTTGACTTTTGTTATTTTTCTGCTTGCAGACTGAAGCTTTTACACTCATGCAGCAAATGTTCACTTAAGTTCAGTACCAAGAATATGTTAAAGAAGCACTGTTTCAGAGTCCATGGAGAAGGAGAATGGGGAGAGTTACCTGAATGCCCAATAGATTTAGTGTGTACTATTTGCAGCGTCAAGTTTCCAACCCCATCTGAGTATGGAGCACACATAAAAGCGTGTGCAAAAGGATATAAATGTGGGTTTTGTGACCGCGTTTTAGCCAGTCAGAGATCACTTCAAATTCATTTACGGGGTCATACAGGAGAGTGCCCATTTTCTTGCAAGTTTTGTGATAAATTGTTCAAATCTGAAATGTCTAGAGATTTGCATCAAAGGGTTCATACAGGAGAAAGGCCTTACCAGTGCCCAAAGTGTGACAAGGCTTTCAGATCCATTACAAATTTATATCAACACAAGGCAACCCATGATCCAGTCAGGAAATATTTATGTCCCCATTGTCAGTATAAGACCCATCGACCTGCAGCATTGAGGGTGCACCTCAGAGTTCATACAGGTGAAAAGCCGTACTCTTGTGATACTTGTGGAAAGTCCTATAAATCCTCTTGGGATTTGAAACTACACTCTGAAACTCACTTGGGAATTAGGCGACCAAGGCGAATTAGAGAAAAGCAGAAAACTAAAATTCAAAATTTAGTGCTGACAGAGTCCTCCGAAAGTGTAGACTTAATTGATGCTGCATGTGCTAATGAGAATGCTGTAAAGGCTCTTCTTCTTGCTGATAATGTATAATGCATGTCCGAGCATTTGATTTTCTCTTTTTAATTAATTAAAGTGAATCTAGCTTAGGGGAGATATCTGCTCCCAGCCTATATGGGTTTACTATCAGACAGCTGTTCATTGTCCTTTAATTTGTACATTTTTGTACAGCGTAGTTCTCTTTTGTTGATGTGTTTGTCAGACTTAAGTGAAAAATAAAACACGTTTAACAGTACATGTTTTATAATTAATTAACAAAACAGAATGCTTTCAAAAAGAGAGTTGAAGGAATTTCTTAGAAAAACGAATGTTTGAGGGCGTTTAAGGGTGAATCAAGAACTTCTGTACATCTACTACAAATGTCTGAGCCTTCGATTACGCCATAACGACGACAACGTACACACAAATGAATATTTTCAGGAGACAAGTGCACCTGAAACTCATCATCATCTGAAGATGAAGGCTCCATGACAACAGAACCAACTTGGAGTATTTCTGTCAGCTGTGAGCTATGTTTAGGCTGACCATCAAATAATGGCTGAAAACAACAATTATAAATCACGTTAAAAAAAAAAAACACACAAAAAAAAACATGGGTTAGTTGGACCTGATAAAAAATAAATTTCAGACTAACTGTCTACTAATACATACCTTCAAAACATTAAAATTTGTCTCAGAGCAATGAACAAGAGCACTCTGTAACCAGGTATTTTTACCTTCTGAGGTTTTGGTCACAGCACTTCTAAGGTCAAAAGCAGTTTTGGCGCAAGATTCCGTTGATGGCTTTAGCCAATCCATTTCAAGTTGTATGGGATTCTTTGAACGGTATTCAAAAAATCTTTTACCTATGAAAGAATTGCTTATGTTATTATCTGATCTATAAGCGTTCGAAACAAATAATGATTGTGTTACCTGCATGAATAGGGTGATATTTATATGTCTCTTCAACCAACAGTGGAGTTATTGGAGCCACCAGCTCCAGTAATGTCTCCAGAACATGATAAATTACATATTGACAAGCTCGTCTTCTTTCAGATTCAGCCATGTCGCAAAATAATCTATAACAAATCATGTTTATTTCTGAGAGCATTAATAGTGCATTGAAGTTAAACTGGTCATATCACAGAAATTCTTGAACAAACCTGTCTTTAGTTAGTGTGAAATAAAGATTTGAGACATCATTAACAACAAAATGATTGATGGTGGAACATACTAAGTTGTACCTATGAGTTGAATACAGCTCATTTACCTGAATTGCAAGCATATTTGTTAAAGAATGCAAAAAAATCTTCAGTTATTAGCTTAACATAGAAACTTACATCCTTTTTCAATGTTGTGATAGCATGAAGCATGTATTGGTCTAGGAGCCACAAACTTTGGCTTGATAAATTAACAGTACGTTCAACAGGAAAATCATTAAGCACTCCCAGTGCATATCTGAAAGTACCTCTTAATTTGTGAATTATGTCAGCTGATAACTTGATTAAACTCACACTGATGGGAATGTTGGCATGCTGAACACTGTGAGCTGCAGCCCACCACCTGAAATCACAACAATACCTTAGTTGGTGTTGACAATATAGTTTTACAAGGTGGAACATAATTGCACCTGCCTTAGAGAATCAACTCCAAACGCTGGTTCCTTTTGCAGATTTTTCCCTCCAGAAGTGATAATGCAGGGGTCTATTACATTACCAATGGATTTGGACATTTTAAGACCATTTTCATCAACTACAAAGCCATGAGTAAATATTTTTCTGCAACAAAATACCCATTCATTAAGCGACCTGAAAAATACAGATTAAGTACTAAACAACTTTTTCCAATTGAAGCTCACCGATATGGAGCTTTTCCAGTCAGAGCAACAGATGTTAACATGGATGACTGGAACCATCCAACAAGCTGGTCACTGCCTTCAAGATATAAGTCAGCAGTACGGCCCTCTAAAACAGCTGACCACGACAATCCACTATCAAACCAAATATCCAGTATGTCTGCACAGCGATCAACTTCAGATGCATCAATGCCTAATTTAGCTGCCAGAGATGGAGGACATATGTCCTCAATTGGAAGAGTCCACCAGAAGTCAGAGCCATGGTTCTTAACAAGGTTACAATAGTGGTCAATCAATTCTCTAAAAAAAGAAGAAAAAGCCAAGAAAAAAACAAAACAAACAGAATTAAATATTTGGTGAAGTTCACAAATTGCATTGATATGAATTATGCTTACTTTGAAATTATGGGCTTTTTACAATCTCGTTTGAAAAGTGCAGGAATGGGTACACCCCAAACTCTTTGTCTTGAGATGCACCAAAATGGTCTCTCTCTTACTAACTTTGAAATGGCTTTACTGTGACTGTGGTCAGGAGCATATTCTATGGTCTTCAAAGCTGCCTGCAACAGGGATTGAGAACAATACTGAGATGAAAAACATTAGTTTTGAAAGTAATCAGAAACAGGGGGAAAGGAAAACTTACAAGAGCATCCTCCTTCACAGCAGAACAATTAAAGAACCATTGTTCACTGGCAAGCATAAAGACTGGTTTGTTGGTTCGCCAGTCATAAGGATAGCTATGTACAAGCTCTTCAGTACAAATTATATCATTCTTCAACAAACCCATAACTGCATCAACACCATTCCCCATAATACTTTTGCCCACAAGGTCAGCTCCTGCAGTTTCAACATAGTTTCCTTCTTTGTCCACCAATGAAACCTATGAAGAACCAATCAGTAAATGACATTCTCATCTGCTTCAATAAAGAGAACTAGGGTGTAAAATTCAATTTTCACAAACCAGCTTAAGATCATTTTCAACAGCTACAATGTAATCTTCACGGCCATGAGATGGTGCACAGTGCACTAGTCCAGTGCCTTTCTCATCTGTCACGTGATCTGCATGTAAAAACTTGTGAACTTCTTGTCTAAAGAGTGGATGGCTATATGTTGCTCTCTTCAAACTTCGCCCTAAAATTGTACGAGGACAATAAAAAATATACATTCAATTTACAGTCTAAGATCATAAATAGTTACTTAGACTTTGAGCATTGAAACTGAAATTACCAGGAATATTTTGAACAGTCTTAATTTGTTTTGAAAGACTTGCTTCTAATACAGGCACTAGTTTTGTGGCTACAATATAATGACCATCTAGATTTTCTATGTTAACAATGCTGTAATCCATATCAGATTTATATGTCACAGCCTCATTGGCAGGAAGCGTCCATGGCGTTGTAGTCCATACTAGTGCATACAGATCACCTTCTAAGTCAACGTTAAAGGGCTTGGTGAGTAGTTTAACACGTACTGTAACACTTGTACTTTTATGTTCCTTATTGTATTGCAGTTCTGCCTCAGCCAATGCAGTCCTGAAAATATCAAGGAAAAATAAAATAAGCAACAGTCAACTTCTCTTTATCTTACGACTGGTGTATGAATCACTTCGAGGGAATATTCTAGTTACTTTGATGATGGAGACCAATAGATGGGTTTCATGTCCCTATAAACAAAACCCTGAAAAAAAATATTTTTTTAAAAAATGAAACTTGATGAATAAGGAAAGCAGTTGGGAAACCATTCAAAAATTACCATACTTTTTCATAGAGAGAATAAAATTGTTTCAATTGGTTCTGCACATAAGGCTTTGTGAAGGTGAAGTAGCATCCATTGTCCCAATCACCTAATATACCCCAGGATTGAAAAACTTTTTTTTGAGTTTCTATAGCATCTGATGCAAACAAACGAGCTGAAAACAAAGAAAAACAGGAAAAACATGGGTGGGTAAGATCTGAATCGCGGTTTTAAGGAGGTTTTGGCCTCTGTAATTTCACACCTATCTGTGCCAGTTAACTTCTGACCTGTTCTGCGGATGTCAACTGGATTCTCTATCTTTGAAGAGCCTTTCTGTGACAAAGCTTTGAGTTCAATCGGAAGTCCATGGCAATCCCATCCAGGCACATAATGTATACGACGGCCCTGAAGCAGCTCATTACGCATCACAATGTCTTTAAGAATCTGAGACAAAAAATGCAAACATGTTACAATAAGATAATCGAAAATTGATTAAATGAACAATATTGTTCCCTTATCCATTAACTATACCTTGTTAACAGCATGCCCTACGTGTGGAGCCCCATTCGCATATGGGGGTCCATCGTGGAGCACAAATTCTTCCCCTTTCAAATTATCACGTTGCCAATTGTAAAGACTGGAAAATCCGCAGTTCTAGAAAAAGAACGTCAGTCTAGAGCAAAGCAACTTAAAAATCAGTAGAACATCAAAGTACAGCAAGTCAACTTGATTTGTCTGAAAATACCTTCAAAATATCAGCATCATGTTTGGCCCTTTGCCGGGGATCTAACCAAAGAGGGAACTCAGTTTTCGGTAGAAGAACTGTAGACTTGAACTTGGCAGCGCCTTTCTTTTCACCTTTTTCTGGTGCTGTACTTAAACTTCTCTTTAAAGGTAAAATGCTTGCTATTCTCTTGTGAATATAAACTGTCCGGCCTAAAAAGCATCGTGAGTTTGGAACTTGACAAGCCATCAGAGCAGACATACTTGCTTCGGCGCTGGGAGGAAAAATAAACCGGATGAGGCCTCCCGCTAGCAGACGACACAATCAGTCTACTCAACTCTCGGACAATAAAAAAAATTACTTTCCGCTAACTAACTAATAATTTCTGAATGTTTCCATTGCACTAAGGCACGCGTATCTTTACTTTCAAGCATTTCTTGTTAAAATGTTTTAATACATGGGCAGAATAGACTATAAATCGATATGGTCGTTTGAAGTAGGTTGGTATTCCCATAAAGGACAAACCCAAACAAGCGCGCTAATTTGCGAATTCTCTATTCAGACAATGAATGAAGAAAGATGGATAGAAAAAGAAAGAGAGAAGGGAAGGGTTGGTTACAATTAAGACGAAAGTAAAAAGTATTAACTCTTTATTCAAGGAAAAGGAAAAAGAAACTAAAGAATAAAAGTGAAAAATAAAAATAGACTATTAATCAAATGCTGTCAGTTCAAAAGACAGACCAGAGCATATTGTCTAGCTAGCCAGATCATTACATTGATAAATACAAGAGCAAGGAGTTACATACATAGTGCAAAGTTACAGCAACAAACCAGAAGTTAATGTAAGATTCCAGCGGCAAGTATTTCCTGGCTATACTTTACAAACATTTGTTTACTAATGCAGGGAATACCCAATGTTTTGCTAAAGACTACAACATCGTCATAAGTCTTTCCTTCGCTAACAAAGAATTTGACAAAGCGCCTGTTCACCTCATAGTCAGGATCGTCATGTGGGTTGGAATCCGTGTCCCCTTCAGGACTTGATGTCACCTGACTCAGGACAACTCCACATGCAGTGCAATACATGATGAGTTTGCAAGCAAGCCCAGACAACTTCTCCGTTTTCATTTGTACATTCTTCTTTCCGCACGAAGAGCAAGCAAAGCTGGTGCACACATTGTTCCAGAAACTCTTGTGAATCATGACATAACCACTACTAGATTGTTCAGATGTAGTAGACGTCTCCTTAAATTGTCGCACTGCTGAGGGAGCAAAGACGTCCTCGAAACTCTCTTGCTCTGACGCTGACAAAGCTCCAAATTTCCGGACGGCTATTCGATTCCGAACGGGTCGAGAGGATATTGCAGCAGCAGCCCCGGCGTCGTTGGAAGGGGATGACGACGGCGCAGACGACGACGCAGACTTTCTGGGACGTCCTCTAGGCATTCTAAAGTTCAATTGTAGACGGACTGTTCTAATAGTGGCAGAAAAATAAGGCAATGCGACTCTTCACTTAGCAAGCTCTGTCGACGAAAACCGGCGAGTGACAGAAAACAACAAAGACAAAACCCGAAACAATCAACAATAATCAACAACAAAACGACGACAACAACAACAAACAGGCTGGCCAGCACAAAAGACATTAAAACAAAAATAATACGGGGAAAGAAAGAGACTCTTTTACGGAGCTAAAAATTTCCAAAATTTCAACTCCGCTAAATAATTTTGACGCCATCACTGAATCACTAGACATATTTGCGAAGAAAACAATGTTTCGTTATGTTTTCTACGTTTTTCAGACTGCGTGGCCCTGTTCTTGGAGCATTCAGATTCATATTGGTATTCTTAGCTCCAGCTCCAAATGAAAACAAAAAACAACGATGTATGATGTGTTGCTTCTCAATTGGTAAAATAGTGCCTGTCGGCCGACATTCCGAGTGCTACCGCACTCTTTTTCTGAAAACGTGAATTAGTTTGTGCAGAAATCGAGTAATTAGTGTTCGACCATGGAGACGCCCCAAAGAGGGAAAAGTGATGACACGCAGACGACCGAGACGCCCCATTCCGCGGATGTCGTGTACCACAACAGAGATGAATACTTTGCAGCTTTGCAAAAATGGATTCACGACGCTCAAGTATGGCAGAACTCTATGGCATGCATGCCATACTTTCTTCTGTCACATCCCGAGCTCTTTGGAATTCCCCCACTTCCGCCTGCCAGCTCTGCCAGCTCTAGCTATGCAGCTGACCCATCAAGACGCCCTGCTCCTGGACCCAGTCCCACCTTTGCCTGGGGAGCCCCAGGCGCACCAAATCGCTCCCCTGCAAATTTGCTTGGAGGTATTGCCAGCACTTAATTGAGTGGAGTCACATATCAAGCCTTCGACATTATTTTGGATTAGTAATAATGCTAGTCGTCGTAGTCTAGTCTTTGCTCTCCTGTCCAACGCTTCTGAGAGTGTCGGAGATTTTTTGTATCGTCTAGTTGTATTTGATGATTCCATAGCATCTCTAAATTTCAGGGATACGATACAAAGTGCCTCCATACTGGAAACGTTTGTGTGCAGAAATCGTTGACTCTGGCATTACCTTCATACTAAAGCTGATCATTACATTTGTATTTGTCCACATCTTTAAGCTCATGTAAGTAATGTCTGTAAAGGCACACATCATCCATGACACTATGACTGTATCAATAATACTTTAAAATTCTTTTTCAGTGACCTGGACAAATACAGCATAGAAATGCTCCAACAGAATGTGCAAAGCTTAACTTATAAAGTGGCTTTAGAGATGACTTCACAGCTTCTTGTTCTTGAGTTGGTGAACCGTGTTGTTGTCTGCCTTTTAGAAGTAAGTATTTGTAATCAATTCTAACTAAAATCAAATGGACGTGCCTCAATTTTATGGGACTAAAGCACAACCACGTTTCCTTTTTTTTTCAGGCATATTGGTTGCGAGGTGGAGAAGGCGGACGTGTAGGGGGCTCTACACCTGGAAAAAATTTATTTGGCCTGAGAGTTGTGTTATGTTACCATGCTAGTCCTATTCCTGGCCAGCCTAATGAAATTGTTGCAGTTACTCCCGGAACAGATCTAGGCTGGGGATGGTCTCTCATTCGCGCACTATCAAAAAACTTATTTCTCACATTAATATATCCCCTTTGTTTTGCATTTTTCTTTTTCAAATTTAACCGTTTAGGATATGATGTACTGTCACATTCTATTGTTGTGGAAAATGTAGATCATAATAACAATCGGAGGTGATTCCATGTTATAACTCTGAAGGTTATTCTTCCTCAAATTAGGTAACCAAATGCAGGAACACCTAAAAGGAAACTGACTGACTTCTCAGGTATTTCTGTGAAAAGCTTTGAGCTTCGAGGACGTTACTAGTATTTATTTTAATGCCAATGTTTCTATAAAGTTATACACATGTATCTATTTTTTATTAACTACTATTGACATTGGACATGTTTTTTTGCAGAATGTGTAGGTGTTGCCTCATTCATTACACCTACTAATGATGAATTCTAGTCTTAACAGAAAATATGCTTAAGGAGTAAAACATTTAAGCCTGGTTTCATTCACACTCAGCCAGTTCTGGATGGGGTCTTATTATTTATCATCAATGCATAAATAAATGGTGTCTGTGATAATGTGTTGCTCCTGTTTTTAAAACTTTTAGCATCTGCGGTTTTACAGAGATGGGACAGCCTTGAGAGAAAAAAATACCAACAATCCATATACTAGTGGTTTACCAACAGTTAGACTGCTAGTTTATTTCTTAATTGAATGAATCAGATACAATTTATAGCCAAAGAGTACAAAATGAGCTTAAGTTGATACACATTTTGAGTTCACAGTATGAAATCACATACAAGGTCATCCTATTTTGAAATAAATCAAAAGAGCTCTGAATAACAAGGTCAATTAGAAAGGTGGGGTAAATTACAAATTGGCAGCAGATACATGTACATTAAGACAAATGGAATTGGTCAGAGTGGGAAACAATTGCATGTTAAGTTGCCAGACAACATATGCTGGGAGTAAAACCAAACAATTTAAACCAAAAAACCAAACAAGCAGTGCAGCTTGCATTGTCAAAAGAGTTCATACTTAGGAGAATAAGGTTGGATTGATGGCTTACATTTAGCCTTCGCAATGTCCTATGATATTTATTAACATCACAAAGTAAGAACTAATTACAGGTAGGACACTAAAAGCATTAGTGCAGTTTTACCAGTCCATTTGAGAATCACATAAGAATCTTAGAATAGCAATTCATCAAAAGTTGTTGAATAAATTCATTAAAAAATGACCACTTGTGGTTCTCTTTTAATAAAGCTCAACTGATCAGAGAAAAACTTGGTACAGTATTTACAAAAATACATAAACTTTTTCTGTTCTCTGTAATAAGGCAAAAATGAAGATCTTTCCTTAACTTCATAAAGTATCCTCAAGTAATACTGGTTTTAACAGATTAATCAAAGACTACAAATCAAGATTGTATCACCCGTACAGAGGAAAGTTTATAAAAAATGAAAGGAGAAATACAATCAATGTATCACAAACATTTTAAGCAGCTTGTTGAGCTGTTTGAATTAAGAAATTTGGAGATAAATCGTTTCCCACATGATTTGAACAGTAATTTCATCCCATAAAAACAGCCACATTAATTTAAAATTTAAATAAATTAATAAATATATTACATAAAATGTTGAGAGAAGCTACCTCATTCGGCTGGAAATTTGAAAAAACAACCAGAAGTACTTAACAAACCAATGGATTCCACAAGAAGTACCTAAGCACAGTTTGCTTCCAGCAGTTAATTATAAAAAGAAATAAAAACCCATGTTTCTGACAAGCTACTCAAATACAAACTGAATTGGAAACTTATGCAGGAACCCATCACTCTCTCATAAGATGGTTGCTACAGGTAGAATAGGAGTTTGGCCTACCTTCTGAAAAAGTCCAAAAATAAATGCACTAAATTGTTAGGATGGTCTAGATGGTCTAGGAAAAAAAAACGGCTTAACTACTTACCTTGTGAATATGACAAGCACTAGTAAAAGTGTCTTCATCTAAGCTCCAGCTTCCATCTCGAGCACAAGGAAAATGGACTTGAAGAGAACAGCCATGATGGATGCATCCAATATTAGCCCCATCAGAAAGACATTGGCTGCATTTCTGTATTAAAGCACAGATATTAACATACATTGAATGGTCAGAAAACAATGTGTCTTAGAGATGTACTTAAAATCTCATGACTTCTTACAGTGCGAACGGCCACCCATACTGCTTCCTGAACGCCAGCTAATCTTGAGCCAATGAGGTTGATAGATGGTGACCAAACAGCACAATATTCATGAAAATAAACCATGAATTGGGACTGTTCTCCAGGTAGAGGAGGTATTGGAAGAAGGCCTAGCACTCCAGTTTGCCCAAGTCCAATACGCTTATTCTGTAATCAGGATAATTTTGAAAAACATTTTAAAAATACAAAAAAAAAATATATTAAGGGATAACAGAAAGTACTTTTACTGACTAAGTACCTTTTTATCCTTTTTGTCACCTCCTCGGCGATCTAAATCAGCATCTAAATCCAAAGAGCGTTCTAGCTCTGCGTCATGATGTATAAGGTAAGGGCCAAATAAGTCCCCAAGACCATCAATATGACAGCCTTTCTTACAGAAAACACAAACCCAACGTGGGTCCGAGGAATGGGATTCATATCTAGTTACTAATGAATTGCTACAGAGACCAGTACTTGAGAGTTTACCTTCAAGAGGAAAAACAAAGTAAGATAAATGATCAAAATTGAAGTCTTTTGCAGGTGTTTTTAAAGTACATGTACTCACCTTCAGTCAAATGAATTTTTCGAATACGGGTTGAGGCTGATTTTTTCTTGCTGTCATTCTCCTCATCATCTTGTCTAGCTGGAGCATTAACTACCACTAAAGAAATGGGGGCATCTTTAGTGCCTTCAATGTGAACAACTGGCCCTCGGACCCGACTTGAACTGGCATTACTTCCACTATCACAAGATGCCTCTTTCACATACTTCCCTTTACTTGAGCCGCCTTTCTTCAATTTTTTATTCTTACTGTCATCCCATGGTTTGTCTTTAGCAGGTTTCTTTTTCCTCTTCTTCTTTGGGGTGGTTTCTGTAGATGATGCCCCAGCAACACCATTTTGTTTGCCCTTTCCTTTCTTTGAGCTGGACCCCTTGCTTTCTAGAACTGCTGCAACATTTGGTGTGCCTTGCAGACTATTAGAAATTACAGGTGGCTTTGATTCCTTGCTAGTGTTTCCAGTATCAGCTATTCCAGCAAACAGGGCTTCAAGTTGAGATTCAACATCAAGTGCATCTTGTTTAGCAGCTGAAGTGGAAGCAGGAGTACCAATATTACCTTGACTTCCTTGGCCCCCAATCTTTCCAGATGAGGAAGCATTGGTGTCCCTAACTTTTTCATGGTTTGATGAGTTCATGATCACAGAACTATTTACATATCCTACAGGCTCTTCTTTCAGCTTCTTGAGTGGGGGCTCCCTCACAATTGAATATGGTGGTGGCAACTTTTGCTCAGCTTTAACTATCCGAGGTTCCATTTTCAAAGCCAAGTCTGCGCTTCCTTCCACCTTGGGATTAGGATTAGCAGCAATATTTGAATCTTTTTGGATAATATCTTGTTTGATGTTAGTTAAAGTGGTCGGAACAGACACATCTGATCCTTTATTGCTAAGTGATGGGGCTGAATTTGCGATAACACTAGAGGTTCTTGAATGAATTTCGCCATTAAATGCTGATGACACAATGGCACTCGAGATCACACTCTGATTCTGGTTAGTTTGTTGAACAACCGATGGAACAACCTTACTGTGCTCTCCTTCCAGAGTCCTTGGAGCTCTTGACAAATCCATCGATCCACTTGAAACAATTGTGGGCATCATAGTAGTCTCATTGCTTTGGAATTTGGAAGGTTGCCCAGGGGCTTGGTTCATATTGAAATTCATTATAAAATTCTGTCTTAAATTATCAGCTAAAGATGATTGAGAATTTTGACTAATGACACTTGAAGGCACATGGCTACCAGCGCCATTTTGTGCTGTATTGACAAACTTTGAAGGTTTTGGAGGTGAAGCAGCAGCTGGATTAAGAGGTTGCATTTCCGATTGCGGTAGCATTCCATGAACAGTTTGTGAAGTTCCAGTAGGAACACTTTTACCTGAAAGCAGAAGTAAAGTGTTGAAAACAAGGCACAACTTCTTAACAGGTAACTAGAAAAATTTTAATGCAGAAACTCTGACCTTGCTGATTCCAACTGGAAAAGCTGTTCATAGTAACAGGCGCTCCAGTTTGATGTGTAGGGAACTGACCAGACATTTTAATTTCGCTCACTACTTAAAGTGTAGATCTTAAATCAATTTGGGTGAGACAATCTCTCAAGAAACAAAATCTTTCATGATTTAAGACTGCTCACTAATTCCACATATTTGTAAAATTTCTGACAAATTATTTGTTGTGCAAAATGTCAATTTCTTGCAAACACAACCATCTAGGGGAAAAAAAGAAAATTATTTAAAATTAAAAAAAAAAAAAAAACTTGCTTGTAACAATGTTTTTAACAATTTTGAGATTAAGAAACCCCAAATGCCTGAATTTTGACTCTTAATGAAAAATACTAAAGTAAAAAATAAAGTACAGCATGAAAGTAAAAAATTATGTTAATGCCAATAAATATGGATAATAAAATATTTTTAAGCTTAGATGATTGTGGTTTTAGATCTCAACAGGGCAATGTTGTTAACATTCCTTTACTTCTGTCTATTCGTGCTATTGAAAAGTTTTATGATGACATAATTTCAAATCTCTTAACTACGAGAAATCAAGGTAGGAGACCAAAGTGGATGACACTCTCCACACAGTCAAAATTAAGGAGGTTATGTCAACGCATTAATGGTTTCCTACAGATGATCCTAACCTTCACACAAGGTTCAAATATGTGTTAGAAGTACGATATCATGAAAACTTAAAGTTACGACTGCACCACAGACAGAGCGCACCGAACTCAGTACACGGCCAGAATTCATAGGCGCTGACTGGTTCTAATGTGGCAGCAAAGTAATGCAAACACACCCCAAGAGGACAGTATCACGTTTTCACTGAACGCTCAAAAAGTATTCGTCGAAATTCTCAAGAGACGAGGTCGAAATCATGGTGCAAGTTTGAAGGCAGGCGTCACGAAGGAACGAAGCTATGTCACGTTATATCACTTAAGACATGTAAGAACAGACGCCGGTGCGCGGCCCAGGCAGATAGATGGCTGCTGTTTCACCAGGCCACCCCAAACATGCTGGACTTAAATCAATGACGAAACCTAGAAATTTTGTTACTTGGTAAAAATGTCACCTACGGCGTTTCAGCAACCTCATTGGCTCATTCCCCTTCCAGATGCGAACCGCGTTCTTGTCTAATCGCTGAAATGTAGCCTACAGTGCTGAAGTAGGAGCAGGAGCAGGAGAGTGGAAGGATGTCCTTCCTAAGTACACAGGAAAGAAAGGTGTTTCAAAATGGCAGGACGCTAGCCCAGCCCAGATTGACGCCGCATTGTTACAAACAGTACAAGAGGAAATGAAAGCGGCAGCAGCCTCGTCCCACCTCTGCGGTTTAAAAAAAAACGCTCTAAGAGTTTACGAAAAAATCTTTAAGTGGCATAATAACTCATTTTCCTCGGTCTGGCAGTTAAAAGGTGTGCGTGCGCCTGTCCTAGCACGGACATAAGGACACTAAGTACCGGTCTAGTGAGAGAGAGAGAAAGAGAGTGGCGGCAAGCAGCGACAAGGCGTAGCGTACTCCCCCTCCCCCCTCCTCCAACCTCTCTTTATCCCTTTCTCAATGATCCTTTCACTGCGCCTGTGACCCCAAGGGTGAAGGGTGGTGGTGTGCGGGTTGCCTGCCTACCCGGGAGGGAAATGCGCCAGGATGCTTTGTGAGGAGGTGCATGTAGGGGGATTCCCACCCAACCACCCCTACCCCTCCTGCGCTTGCAACCGATAACCGACCCGCCTATTTGCGAGAAGCGGCTAGCGAGGATCAGTTCTCGGGTGATAAACAGGACTCCCCTGGGAAAACACGGGACATAAATAAGAATGCCAAGTACCACAGAAGAAATCTTGTTTCATACAGAAATTACAAAATCCTGATGAAATTTTATCTTAATGTAACACCAATTAGTTAAGGTAATGTAACTATAACACTGACAATTTGTAAAAAAAAAAATCTTTGAAAGAAAAAACATTTTTTTAAAAAACTTAACTTAAAATTCAATACCCAAACCAAAGAGAAAATATTAATTCAAAGAAACTGCAGCTCAGTAAAGCTAATGGAATTTACAAGCCAACAGAAAGTTGAGAAAAGTAACAAACATAAGGGCCCAGGAACAACAAACCTGCCAATGATGGCAGACAATGAGATTAGATTTTTTAAGAGAAAGACCTTATAAATAGATAACTTGTTAAAGCAATTAGTAATGGCCTCATGTATAAAAATATAAATTGTAAATACTGCTTCTAACAGACATCAACATCAGTTCAACATATTCTGCTTATCTAATTTCTACTTCACAGTCTTATTGAAAACTTATAGATTAGGACAATGTACAGTAAACAGAGAGCAGGTTCACATTTGTATTGCCTAATGAACTTCAACTGCAAATGAACTGAAGCTAATGGTTCCCAAATGAGTCTTCAATACTAAAGGATCCACCCACTTCATTACAGAAATACCTCATGAAATAGACCAACACTCTGACTATGGTGAAGAATTTGATGATTTTCTAACAAAGACATTGAATTGGACAACACAGGCACTATAAGAGAAGGAATGTCACAAAAATTGATAGATAGACATTAGTGAAAGGGTTACGAGATTCAAGCACAGAAGTTAAGATGAGAAAAAATATACTCAAAATCCTGGCAAGGCAATTCGATTAATGCCTTCCAGTTATTCTTTTTTTGATTGCCATAGTTAGATTAAATCATCTTTCCTTTCAGGCAGTACTGATACACGGTAATTATTATTTTAAAATATCAAAACAGTTATTCTCTAAAACTTTAACAACAAAAAAGGGTGAAAATGCACGTAGATTGATTAAAACTAGTCTGATTTTACTGGAATTTTAATTAAGTTTCCACTCTGTGTCATAAGTTGTATTCTGGTTTTAAAACTCTAAAGTTCATCTTTAGACACTTGAGGAGGATTTCTCATATACTTGACAAGATCTTCTTTCTGAAAATAAAGGTGAAAGCGCCATCAGAAAGGTTTGAAGCCAAGTTGTAATTAAGATGCAGTTAGGGCTTGTATAGAATTACTTACAGTTCTACCACCATTGTAATCAGCTTGTCCTTTGTTGTAGTAATGATAATATTTCAAAGTGGGATATCCTGAAACTCCTGCAAATTTACAAACTTCAGCATGCTCAGTGCAATCCAAAGCAGCTAAAGTAATTTGTGGCTCATCCTCAAAAATTTGAGCTGCCTCTTGATATAAAGGCTTCAGATTTTTACAGTGGCCACACCCTGAAAGAAATGGTGTGCATAAATTTACAAAGGCTAATGTTTTCTTGGCAAGTGGGTTTGTTCTGAGATGTTTGCTTTTCCTGTGTGATTCATACTTACATGGTGCATAATACATCACCAGAGCATGTCTTTTCTTTTTCAAAACTTGCTTAAATGTGTCAGTGGTTAAGTGGATTACTTCACTAGGCACTGAGGACCAAGGTTTCTCCTCCTCTGGAACTGGAGGTGGCTTAGTAGGGTCTCTCATCAAAGTAAGAATGCGCTCAGCATCACGGACATTGGCATCAAATTTAAAATCTCCTTCATGGAAAAGCTTTACTGTAGGGTACCCTTGCACTTTAAACCTCTTTCCCAGACTTTGTTCCACTGTTGCATCTACAGCAGCCAGTTTTCCAGGGATCTTGATGGGAGCAAAAGCACTGAAGTTAATGAAATGAAAACAAAACTAAAGTATCACATTTGCAATGAGCAATACCTTTTGATTAATCATATTCGTGCTGCTTTCTCATATTCTGGCTTCATTCTTTTACAATGCCCACACCATGGGGCATAAAACATAACTAATACAGTTTGCTCTTCCTGATTTTTTTTATTTTTTTTTGGTCAAATTAAAAAGAAGAAAACAAAGAGACTATAAGTTTGACATTTAAAAAAAAAAAAAAAAGCAATCAAAAATTTTGCTATTAACTTGCCTGAATAAAAGTGTCAAAATCGTCAACAGTAAGATGCACTACATCTGATGGAGTTGCAGACCAAGGCTCTTCCTTTGGTTTCTCCTTTTCTTTGCGAGATGCTTCTGATGGGTCACGCATAAATGCAACAATGTCATTCTTCTTATTAGGCCCTTCATAAGGAAACATCATGCGTCCGTTCCTTAAAAATAAATAGAGAAGTAGATAAGATAATTAATCAATGACAGGTCAAGCGCATATTAATTAATTTACTTACTTGAAATACAGAAGTGTTGGGAAGGCAGATATATTGAACTGGTGCCTCACCCCGTTGTTCTCCGGCCGATCAACATCAATTGCAGCCAAGATGGCTTCATCTTTCAGTTCTCTTGCTGCATCAGCATAGTGGGGTTTCATTTGCTTGCAAAACCCACACCAAGGGGCATAGAATAGCACCATGGTCGGACGTATCTCCTTCTTCAGCAGCCGCAAAAGTTGCTGATAACACAAGGACAAGGGCAAGGATGCCGTGAATAAGGCACACACACTTTGAGCTCTAAACGAGGACGAGACACCCGGACGAAAGAGCGACCGTCCTCGAATCATCCCGCGCTACGTAGGGCGCGTGCCTTGCCAACCTACTCCAAACAAATTATTTACATTTGTTGGCGGGATACTTATAACAGCTTCGTTTCTTATCATATACATAAATAGAAGCATGAAATTTAGTTATTTTTAAACGCGGAAATACTACAAAAACCCTTGATGCAAGTTAGCTGAAAGTTGTCCAGCCTGCAGAGGATCAACAAACGAAACTAACCTAAAAATGTTGACCTAGTGAAGAAAACTGTGAAGTGATAAGTGAGATATTTATGAAGTTACGAAGAAAATGGGAGACATGTCGATCATGGGCGACGCACAAGCGGCCTCGCAAGTGCTGGTTGCCGCGCGTGTTCGACCCTTGCTTCCCTCGGACCGCTCCAACGGGCTCGTGTGTGTACAAGCCCTACCCCAAGCTCAGCAAATCATACTTGGCAATCAGTGCTTCCAGTTCCCAGTTGACTACGCTTTCCCCATGGAAGCACAACAGAGTCAAATCTTTGAAACGGTAGTCCAGCCACTCATGGATAGGCTTCTTCAAGGATATGATACCTCTGTGGTGACATATGGACACTCCGCCACTGGAAAGACTTACACGATGCTTGGTCCAGGAGTTGGATTTAACATCAGTGAATCAGAATATGGAATCATACCTCGTGCAACAAGATACATATTTTCAAAGATAAAGCAGGGACCACCAAAGAAGTTTCAAGTAAAAGTGAGCTTTGTGAATGTTCAGAATGAAATGCTACGAGACCTCTTGACGTATGGTCAGTGTCATCAAGAGCTGTTGCTCCTTGAAAGTGATGCAGGGTATCCTGTCATTACTGGTTTACAGGAAATAGAGTGCGAAACAATAGAAGTTTTATACAACTACCTGCAAGTAGGCATGCAAAACAGACAATTGGAATGGAACAATGCTAGGCATGCTGGTCGGCCTGCTCAAGCTCATTCCATCTTCACCCTTTCTCTAGAACAACAATGGGTGACACCAGAAGGAACAATGGAGCAACGCTTATCGATTGCACGATTTGCTGACCTAGCAAGTTCTGAGAAATTATATTTCAGAGGTATGGGTGGACATGTTGTGGGAGAAACTATACACATGGATCCAGGACTACTAGCTTTAAACAAAGTTATTCAATCAATGAACCAGTCAAGTGAGTGGATGTGTTATGATTCAGTCAAAGAAGTATATCGACAGTCAACTCTAACTAGAATACTTAAGGAATCATTTGGAGGACGCTCTTTTTCTCTTGTTGTATGCTGCATCTCTCCTGCATTGCCAAATTTTGATGAAACACTTGGCACACTACAATTTCTTGAAAAACTTTCACGAATAAGAAATAACCCGGTGATGAATGCTTTGACAGTAAAAGTCACACCCAATAATGACATGACAAAGCAAAATGGACATGCCAATTTCACATCAGGAGAAGGAAATGGAGCCGATACATTCGGACTTGAATTTGCAACAACACAATGGATAAAACTAGTAGATAGTGCAGAAGGACTTTTTAACAAATTAGTAAAGAGTAATACTTTGTCAAAACAAGAGAGGGAAGAAATAGTGGAATGGTTGTGCTTGAAGCATGAATGTGAAGAATGCGTAGCAAGTGATGATGATGATGCAGCCAGCATAGCAGGAAATGATGGAAGACTCCTCGAGAAAATAGATGAAGTAACAGAAACAGAAGAAAAGACAGATTCATCAAAGGAAGCTAAGATCTCTACAGATGATAGAGAAGAGGAGCTGAAGTATGATTCAGAAACAGAAAGTGATATTGACTCTCAGAGACCTGACTTTGTGGAAAAATTAGATAATTATATAATCCAATTCAAGAGGAAAACTGATGAAGATGTAAAAACTAAGCAAGATAAGTACAGAGAAGAAGAAGAAAATGGAATACATGGGCACACACCAGCTGATAACATTGGCCAGCATCCCGTCAGAAGTTGTCTTCCCAATAATGGCAGGAGAAGGAGTATTCATCCAGGAACTCAATTACCACTCATGGCTCTCGGATTTAATTCTAGCCCAAGTTTAGATACAGCAAATATTGCAGTAGACAGTGAAGATGTTGATGGAGAAAAGACCGAGGCCCTGAATGACCAAAGTTCCGAATTCATTCAAGATTCTTCCCAAAAACAAAAGGAAGGTAGTGGGTTTGAAGATGGCATGAAGCAAGGAGAAATGGAACCTCAACAAGAACTGAAACTATTAATCACTGCAAATGAAGCAAGGCAAAATCTCATCAAACAATTGGTAGTTGACATTAAATTGATTAAAAATCGAATTGGAGATATGCAAGCAACAATTCTCGAGAAAGAGCAATTTATACAAGATATACAAGACAATGCTGCTACATGTGCCAATGCTAAACTTCGTTTCCAAGAGAAGAAGACCAAGCTTCAGGGGGAATACTTCAAAACATGCCAACAAAGAGCGGAATTGGAAAATGCTCTTTGTCAAAGAACTGGTCCAAGTGAGGAAAATTCAAAGTGTAAAAGAGATGTGGAAAAGTATGAAAAAAGAGCTAAGGACTATAAACAGCGGATGAAAAGCATAGACATTATCAATCAAATTGCAGGGGATAGTGCAAAAAAAGTATTTGAACTTGAAACAAGCTTGCAAACATCAACACGTCAATTAGAGAGGTTAACTCAAAGAAGCATCAGAAGGGAAGAATCTCTGCAAAAATTGCAAGAAGAATGGACACAAAACCAAGAAAAAATTAAGGATCTACAAGAAAAATGCAACGCTCAGGTTCCCAAAACAGATGAACATGGAAGAAATGTCAGTACTGGTGGAAGCCAAGAAGGAGATTTGTGGTGGATTAAAGAAGAGGAGGAACGTCAAGTCAGTATGCGAGAATCTTCCCAGAGGCTTCAGGAGCAGCTGGATAAAGCTGTATTTAAGAGAGAGAAAATCTCTGTAGAGAAGCAAAGAACACAAACTCGTAATATTTTAGAAGTAAGTGCTCGAATATCACATCTTTCTCAGGTCCTCAAGGAAAAATCAACAGACCTAGAGAAAATTAAGGATGAAGATGAGAAAGAAGCGTTGAGACTAGAAATTCACAATTTAAGATCAACTAGGGATTGTTTGATTGAACAACGTTGTGCTTTAGATGACAAGTTCAAGAAGGAGAACTCATTATCAACATTGGAAGAGCGCAAGCTTTTGGAATGTGATGAAGCCATAGAAGCAATAGATGCTGCAATTGAGTACAAAAATGAATTAATCTGTGGCAGAAAAGGTGGATTTGAAGTGGGGGGACGAGAGGAGGGAGAGGAGTTACTAATGGAGAGATTGAACAAATTGTCAGAGATGGAAATGAGAATGCTTCTGTACAAGTATTTCCGAAAAGTTATTGACCTCCGTGAAAGCGGCCGAAAGTTAGAGGTTCAATTAGTGGAAAGAGAAATGCAAACTGAAAAACAAATGTGGGATATTCAAACACTAACTCATGCCCTTCAACAGGATCGCCTTGCAGCAGAAAGGCAGATCATTTTGCTTCAAAGGCAACATCAAGAAAAGCTTCATCTTATGTTAAGAACGTTTGCAGAAGAGTCGAGTGGTGGAGGAGGAGCAAGTTCAGGAACAGATACATTGGGTAATCAGCATGCAGGCTTGGAAGAACAATCATCACTGAAAACTGAGAATAGAAGACTGCATAGAAGATTGCAAGACCTAGAGTCGACTTTACAAAAACTGCAGGGAGCCCGTAAAGCCAATGTAGATCAAGCTGATCATCCACATAAAGATGCTCGGGGGCGAAGTATTAGTCCTGAGCCTATACGTCCTGAACCTATTCCAAACAAGAACCTAAAGCAGTTACGGGCTGCTGCTACTGCATTAACAACCAAAGTCACTCGCCAGAAGAACAAACTTATCATACAGCAACAGAAACCACCACAACCAAGTCGCGCCAAGCCACCTAGTAACTGACTTACTGTATAAAAAATGTTTTTATCTTATTTTTGTACACACTGTAATTTTAAATATTATTTATTCCATGAATGATAAATGTAGAATGTGTGTATATTTGTGATATTAGATGACCAATCAATGCAGCCTTAATAGTTATTTGCTGCTGCGTTATTTTTTAACAAAATGACTGCTGAAGAATTGCTTGTAGCAAACTTAATTAATTTCATCAAGTAATAGAATTTTTTTTTCTAAAAGTTTCTTTGAGTGTAAAATTAACTATGCATGATAAAAGTAAGACTGTGTTTCTAAATAAATTTGATTTAAACTATGTCTTTTGTTTTGTTTGAAGTGTCCTAAGTCTGGAGTCCATATTTTAACTATATGAAATTATCATAAAAAATACACATGAATTAAACAGCCATGAATCCAGAGTCGCAACAGAGAAAGAATTATCTATCAACTAACATTGAAAGGTTGAAGGTTTTTGATGACACTTACATCGGGATGTTCTATATGCCTGACATCATTAGCAGAGTCTTCTTCCTCCCACGGTGCATCTCCACTGGGATCCCTCATAAAACTGACCATTGACTGCACAGTCATTTTGCGGTCGTAGTCCTTGTGAAACTCACCATTTTTGTAGTGTTTCAACGCAATAGGATCTGGAGTAGCTTTTAATTTTTTGCACAATTTCTTAGCTTCTCTGAAAAAGAGAGAAAGTTAAACCATTAGCATACAAAACTCAGATTTAAATATGTACAATAAAGTGAGCAAGAAGGAACTAACCCCGAGCAGTCAATAAGAACCATTGTGCCCTGCCCACGAACTGATGCAGCAGCATCTTTAAACAGACGCACTGTTGCATCTCCTGCTTTCAATGAACTAACAAAGAGCACTAGTACATTATTTTTAGTGCGGAGCAACTTTTTAAAGTCCTTGATGTCAGACAGTTCTTCTAGGTTTTTTGGAGCAATTCCGCCTCGTTGCTGAGCAGCAAGGAATGTAAAACAGCAGGTGATTGTCTGGAAGAAAAAGTTGAAATGATCGAATAAGTGTGCTTCTTAGCAAAAAAAATGAGAAAGATACAACCAAATTTCAACAAAATAATCAGAAGAGTTCAGATTTATTCATTGGGCAGACAGTTTCACTTGCAACACTACACTTGTAAAATGTACACAACTTGTTTCTTGTGAGCACTTGAATGTACTGTGATTTCCTTGAGCAAGTTACCTGATTCGCTTGTCCAAATTGCAAGATACTTACTTGTAATTTCGTAAAAGTAAGGACAATTAATTGATATAAAACAATAAACATGCAATATGAGTACAGGTTATGTAGGTACAAACAAAACAAAATGAACGAAAACAAAAGATGACCATTACGATTTTAAAAGATATAAATGAAATATCGAACGGAAAGCTGTTTCCTCGTGTAGTTGCTCTATTAATGCAAAAAGTGACAAGACCGGTGCGGCGCCTGAACAAGTGACGTTTCATCAACCTCTGTACTGCAGATAACTTGTTGTCCTATGCATTATAAAACCACGCGGATTATGTCAACTTACGATGAAAAACGAGCTTGTAAGCTTCATGGTTCTTCAATTTAAAGAACGTTTCAAAATTTCGAATAATTTCAGTGCACTGCGGCACCAAAACTGGCGATTCTGCTCTGCTTTGCCCTCCTTCTTCCTTCCTTCGTCTGCTGCAGCAATAAAGATGAGAAATTGCGTGTTTTGGAAAGAGTTTCGTGAAAAGAAGAAATAAAAGGCGGTGGTAGTGGGTCTAAATTTCTCATCCTGTCACGTTGTTACTTGTTGTTGTTGTTGTAACTGAACTAAACTGAACCTTAACCTTCGAAAGCTTCAACCAGTTTTGTTTTGTATTTGTTGTACCATTGTTCTAAGTAAATCCAAGAAGAGGTGTAGACTGTTATTGTTTCCTCTATAACGCCAAAGATGGCCGAGGAAAAGTTAACTCCATTGGAAGAGGAGGCATTGAAACGCAAGGAGAGATTAAAGGCTCTGAAACGCAAGCGTGAAAACGGTGGTGAAGCTTCAGAAGAAACACCGGCTGTCAACCCTACTCCTCTACCCAAGTAATACTTAGCAACAGCGCATTTCCAATGAAATTTTCATTTCGCATTGTCATGTTTGTTACTATAAAGAGAATCTTGCAATATTTGTTTTCAGACCCAAATTTCGAAGCTACAAGCCGCAGGATGAGCAACTTAAAGAGAGTGTCATGCCTACTGCCAAACCCGCAGATGTTTCAGATGAAGTGAAAGAACAGCTTGAAGCTGCAGACAGTAGAGTTGTAATGGATGACCTGGTGAGTACACACCACTTCAGATTATCAACCCGTTTTTCTTGTATATCATTTTATGTTGGTCCATATGCATTGAATTCCTTGTTTTATTTTTCAGGACATCACCAAATTAGCTCCACGGAAGCCTGATTGGGATCTGAAACGAGATGTAGCCAAGAAGTTGGAAAAACTAGAGAAGAGGACTCAGCGGGCTATTGCTGAACTTATTCGAGACAGACTACGATTAGAGCAAGGGGATGACCTTGCATCCGCTGTGAATGTTGGGGCCCGAGCACAACTACAAGAGAATAATGAAGATGACTAATCTGCATTAGAGTTTAATGTATTTTATGTATTTTGTCTCCAAAACACTTTCATTGTAGACTATTATATTTGTACTTATGTTTACCTGCAATCCTGTTTCAAAGATTTTAAGTTTCATTTTCATGGTTTTTCCAACTCCTGTTAAGTCATCTTTTTATGAATGACTTTGTGTTGTTTTCTGCTGTGACCTCATAGGAACGTTTTTTAATGGACCAAAATGAAACTTTTACTTCAGGTCATGTCTCAAATTTAGTAATTTTTATTGGCTTTCTCATCAAACTACAAATGCCTGTTTACTCATTACATAATTTCTGACAAATTTAAGTACAAAACAACAAAAATATGTAAATTGTGGTACCATTTGAATGCTTGTTTTGTACCTCGGCAAGCAAAAGCTACCCTTAAATACTTCAACAATTTTTTTAAAAAAAGTTTTTACTTATCTACTTAACGATATTTCTTATTATCAATAAGTGTATCCCCACGTGCTGTAGCTCTTGATGTAAAAAAAAGGCAGGGTGGGGAACCCCAACTAGAAAAAATTTCATACCAACCGGTAGCATTTTTTGTCAGCAACATCAATATTATTTTGACACTAAAGGTTACCCATGAGAATTTTTTCAATCAATTTTAAAAGGACTGGTTGTGTTTTTGACATAATTAGTTGGTGTGAAAATCTTCCTCATCATGGTAAACTGCCTTTTATTTATTTTTTACACCATGAATTATAGGGCCCTGGTGCTTGCGCACAAAATAATTGGATTACAGAACATTTCATAAAACTACATCTTTGGTATAAAATTATGAGTGGTCAAACATCATGCCACTGAATCTTTCTCAATATTCTATTGCTAAAGTTACATTGGTCTGGAAATCAAATGTACCACAATAAAACAAATATTATAGGTTTCTCAACTAATTGCTGTAGATCGGATCAATTGGGCTCAATGTGCACTCTCCCTACAACAAGTAACCAATAAATGTGATTCTCATTCCCTTTTAGCTCAGTCAATCAAAAATGGCACGCAAATGTTGTCTGTGGCGGATTTGATAAATGCATAGAGCTACCAAGAGTTGCCTTTTCTACAAAACTTAACCGATAATATGCTCAACCAGCAAGAAATAAATACACTAGCTTATTACAAACAAATATCACTTTGATTCAAACTACAGCCCTGTTTTCGATTCGATCTCACTCCAAGGGTCAAGGAGCTCTGATATAGGGCTGGAGGAGGGTGGGCATGGGCACGGCCTCCCCAGGGCCTCCCCTCCACTCAAGTCTGCAGGCGCCAGCGCCAGCTAGGTGCCTTCAGGTCCTTCAGGCTGGGGAGTGGTGCCGTCCTGCAGCCTGTAGCGCCTGCGAGGTAGGCCACCTACCAGACCCGCTGCACGCCTCGCCTCGCCTGGTCGTCAGTTTGGTCGGCCGGTTTACCGGGTGTCTTGTGTGACTGTGGAGGGGCGACTCCAAGTGTGGTGGTGGTTTCATCGGCGCGGCCTGGGCCCGCCTATCTGTACATGGCCACGGCGGTGGCGGCGAGCAGGGAGGCCACGAGGGTGACTGAGGCGCCGGACCGCGGCGCCGCGGAGTCCTCCTCCAGGTTGAGCTCGCCGGCGTTGTACCACACGTTGCGGCCGCCCAGGGGCTGCACGGGGCGCGCGTTGTGCGTCAGGAAGCCGTGCTGGGTGCGCAGCCGGCGGAACGTCTCGAGCTGCAACAACAATCGAACAACAACAATCAATGGCAAGCGCAGGCAAGCCAAGGCAAGCGCCGCGGGGGCAGGCAACCCATTCGACTCGTTGGTTGCCTCGCTTCGCTTGGCGTGCTTCGCGATGCTTCGCGCACGGCGCGCATCACGTCCAATGGATTGGCCGCGCTTTCTACAAACTAGAGCGACGACGACGACGGCCGCCGCGGACGAGCTCGCCGTGAAGAACGACGCGGACAAGCGGGCACTGCGCAGCACCGCCCACACCGAGAAGGCGTACCTGGCTGTGGGACAATCGGATGGGGTGCTTGAAGTCGATCCAGGTGACGACCTCCAGACAGGGGGGCGTCGTGAGCGACCCGTAGTACGTGAAGTAGTGCGAGCGGGCGCAGGGGATGAGCGAGGCCAGGGTGAGCTGGCGCCGAAGGCTGAACTTGGTGAGGGGCGTCTCGATCTGCGGCAGGTAGTCCACCATCTCGGAGTAGACGGCGTTGTCGGAGGGCATCACCTGCGGAGGGTGGAGGGAGAGCACTCCGTTAGTCTCAAGGCTGACATGTCGCGTACAGCCTCACAGCACATAAGAAGCGGATCAGCGATTTAGCTGCCGTCGGGGATCGAACCCGCCAACCGCGGCATCGCGACCCACGCAACGCGGAGGGAAGGCGGGCTGGCAGCCAGCTGACGCTGACGCGCCGCCGCTATGGCCTGGATGTCACGCTCCGCGCTCCGCCGTGGCTCGGCTGGCTCGGCTAGCTCCCCGTCAGCTGATCGCGTTAGGTAAGATTATAGAAGTACGGAGTACAGTAGAGGGGCTCGTGTACGTGCAAGCCTTAAGGTCTGAGCAGTGGCCTCGGCATTGCTGGCTTCGGTAGAGCAGGGCGTGGCGGGGCGGGGCGTGGCAGAGGGTGCAAAAGGCCCTCCTCTGCTTCCCTCGCTCCACCAGCCCGGATTTGACTCTACCGGGACACCAGTGCGACATGACCCCAGCGCGGTCCAGCCAGGTCCAGGTCGCTCCAGCCGGGAGGGAGAGCCACCGCCGTGCCGCCGTGCGCTCACCTCGTAGAAGAAGGCCATCACGGCGAGCCCGTCGGACTGCAGCTGGGCCATCTCGGGGGAGCCGTAGTTCTTCTTGTAGAACACCATGTGCAGCTCCATGGGGTAGCTGTGTGCGGAGAGGGCGGATAGGTTAGGACAGGCACCGGCAGTGGCACGGCAAGCCGGGAGCGGCGTTGTGTTGGCGTACCTGTGGTTGTTGATGAGGTCCTCGCTGCCGAAGGAGTCGTTGGTGCCCCAGTGCCAGTGCAGCTGGGAGAAGACGTACTTTCCCTTGAGCGGCCCGCCCGAGATGGTGGCGGGCTCGGACATGTTGAGCTTGAGCAGCACTGTCGCAAAGATCAACGGTCAATTTGAAAACTTCAACTTCTTCGACATTTTGCATTTGGCACTGAACGACTGGGAAGGGGGAAGTTACCAGTGTGGCCGTTGTTGGTGATGGTGGAGGACAGGGGCGGCGTCTCGAAGCCCTCGTAGCGAATGGGCGGCAGGTGCACCCTGGTCACGTGGTGCTCGTCGATGTCGATGGGCGACTGGTACTTGCCGCGGCACGTCTTGTACGTGTCGGCCCAGTGGTCGGGGCCTGCAGCATGCAACCACTTCGTCAAGCAGGCCAGCAGGCCAAACCTCCCAGTGTCGAGAGCGTTGCCGACCCGAGTCTGCCTGCTAGGCAACATCTAGAGACAGCAAAGCCCGGAAATTGTCTAGCAGGCAGACGCTGCCGTTGGCAACCCTTTCGACTCTGGTGCATCGTGGGAGGTGGCCACGACACTGGACTCGTCGCGCTGGCTCACCGTGGTTCCCTTCGTAGGAGAAGTCGTCGAAAGGCTCCAGGACTCCTCCTGCAACAGCGGGAAATCCCTCAGTACAAGCAGCAAAGCGATCCGCGGACATTGTCATTGTCACCGCGCGCCTGGCGCTTCCGCTTCCATTTTGGTGTGGCTGGCCTGGCTGGCCTCCTTCCTTCCTCTTCGGCGGAAGCCTCGCCCCGCGCCCCGCACCCCGCACGGCCGGGACGCAGGACGCACCGCGACGCACCGCGCCGACGGCGCCCGACGGCCTCTACCGACGCGACCCGGCCATATCTGTTCGGAAAGCGAGCCTTGGCGGGGGAGAGGGGAGCCCCGGGGTCATAGGACAGCACAGGCACCAGCGGCGCCACTCGGCACCACTCGGCACCACTCGGCCGCGCTGCTGGACTGGATCCGTTCGTTCAGTGCCATTTGTTCCCCTCGGTCGCTAAGTGAACGCCCACGAGGCACTACACTAGTACGCCGTCGCGGAGGCTGGAGCAGGGCAAGCAGGGGAAGGGGAGGGGGAGGGGGAGGGATTTGAGGATGCGCGGAGCGGAGGCTCTGGGAATGAGGTAGGATTTCCGACGACGCTGGGAGCTCCCAAGCAAGGGTGGGCCATCGCGCATACTAGGTCCCCCCCCCACTTCTTTCCACTCCCCCCCCCTCACCTCTCGCCGTGGTTCTGCCACCCGTCTTCGCACAAAGGGGCCATAAAGCGCCCGACGTGGACATTGACTGCGAAATTTACATGACGTTCAGGCCTGCAGGCTTGCAGGTGTATGTGATGACGGGCTCTGATAGCATTATGTGACGCGGACGCGACAGGGACGGGACGGGACGGGGTGACAGGGCCAGGCAGCGGCAGGCGGTAGCCGCGGGCCCCGTCCTTTCGCGGCGGCAAAAGCGTGAGGTAATGGCACGGGGCAGTTTAACTTGACGCGCGAGGGCATGCAACAAGTCACCCGCAGTGATGGCAGCCAATGGCAGCAGCCGCAACAATTACAACAACAATGGTGCCGGGCAAGTGTTGGTGCGTGCCTCTGAGGACGCGGGCCATGCGGGCCGAGCGCCTGCGGATCGCCGGGTAGGCTGCCCTGCACGACACGCGTGCGCCGCACGCCGACGAGTTGCCTACGCCGCAGGCGCCCATAGCCCAGGCGACCGCCGGCAAGCCGGGACGAGCACGACAGGGCCGTTGTTTCGGTTAAACCTACGCGCCCAGAAGGGAGGTGTCTTACCTCTATCCGGCAACGAAACCAATTGTTGCGGCGTTTGCAAGCAAGGGCGTGCCGAAGACGTCCCGCTCCGCTTTGCACCTCGCCGAGTTCGCGGTGCCCGAGATAAAGTTAAAGCGCGGAGTCCTGCCGCGCAGCACGACCGACTCTGAAACAGTCTGTCTCTCTCGCACCTCTAAGGGACACCCTATAAGTGCGAGAGAGAGTGCCAGAGACACCGACTCGGAATCCCTGGTGCCGCTCGGACCGCGGCTAAGGTCTGCGGCCGGCTCCGCTCGGGGCCGAGCAGGCCGAGCAGGCCGAGCCTGACGATAGGCCGGCCGACAATTATTTTCGCCAGCGATTTTCGCCTCGCTAAGGCGGGCCGGGCCGGGCCGGGCCGGGCCAGAGCAGGCCGGGCAGGATGAGGCGGGGCGTGGCGTGGCCGGGAGCACGCCAGCGACGCCAGCGACGCCAGCACACCAGTAGCGTAGCCCGTCGGTCCCGCGTCGTCTAGAGGGGCGTCGTTTGTCGCTGTCTCTGTCGCACTCGGGGGGCTCTCCGTAAGGGTGCGAGAGAGACAGCGGCAAACCGCTGCTCTGAATCACACGGCAGCGGCGAGCAGTGGCGAGCGGCAGGGGGAAAGTGGAGGCAGCGGACGGGACGGACAGACGGAGCCACCAAGACGGATCCTTTTGCGAAATTCTGGAATCACGCAATGAGCGTCGATAGGCATCAAGGCGCTTCTAAGGGCCAAGGCAGCCAAGGCAGCAGCATTCGCGGCGTGAATCGCAGCCCGCAACGCTCTGCTCTGCGGCCCGGCCCGCCGAATGGCCCCTTGGGCCTTGGGCTGGGCGCAAACCCGAGTGAGGAGGAAGGAATCGAAAACGCAGGGAACAGTTTCCTTCAATGCTTCTGGTTGAGGGGCGTCCCGTCAGGTGCGAGGGAGACAGAGCGACACGCAGTGCTCGGAACCATGAGCCTGCTGACGGGCACGTGGGGGGCGATGACTGCCTGCGTCCCGGACGGATGGCTCGGCAGCCCCGGCAGCCCCGGCAGGCCCGGCAGGCCCGGCGCGACGCGGACCAATGTCAGCAATGTCACACGCGATGCGCTGAGCTGCCGTGCCTCTGCAATGCCGCCGGCCATGCCTCTGCGGCGCTCTGCGGTGGCATGCCTGCCGGCGATGACACCGAGGCTGCAGCACCGAGCCAGGCTCCATCCTGGCTCAGCTGGACGGCAGCTTTGAATAAATGTACAGACTTTGGAAGGCCGGTGTGAGAAAGTCGTCGGGGCACGTGAGGCTGCCGCGGGGCCGCGCCGCCCGCCGCGGCCACGCCCCGCCACGCCGCGAGCACGCGGTGCGCGCCATGCCGGGAAATTAATTAGATCGACGAGGCATTCCGAGATGAGCGGGACGGCGACGTGCGAAGGCCCGTCTGGCTCACGAGTCGGGGGGGGGGGGGGGGGGGGAGGGCGTCGCGACGCCCAGCCCCAGCCCCAGCCGGACGCCACCGGTTTGGCTCGACGCGCTTTGGGCCATTGAAGGGTCGATGCCGTGTCTTCTGGACCTCGCCGCCGTCGGACTCGCCCCGACGCCGCTCCAGGACCTGGCCTGGCGGCCCGACGCCTTCTTTTCAGCCTCGTTCGCTTTGGGCGTGTCGGTTTGGCGGTGTGGTGGTTCGGCCGGCCTCGCGAATCCACCCGCCGCACGGCCACGGCGCGGCATCGCGGTCAAAAGTTCCACGCTGGTTCGACGGTTCGACGCTCTAGGATTTAAGATCCGACGTGAACGTCATCTGTCAGGAAGATTTATGCGAGCAGGCGGAGCGGCCGAGTGATTCCGAACGACCGTTTCGTCGTGCTGTCTCTCTCGCACTCGTGGGGCGGTCCGTGCGGGTGCGAGAGAGAGAGAGAGAGCACGCCGCGGCCGCCGCGCCAGTGACGAGCGGCAGGCGGGAGCAGCGGCTCGCTAACAACAGGCCTAACAGAGTTATGCCTCGGCTTTACGGCGCCCCGCTCCATTCAGAAACATCATTTCGTTGCTCCGTCTCTCTCGCACCGCCCCCTGACGCCTCACGAGTGCGAGAGAGACGGATGACAGCACAGCCCTTCGGAATCAGAGGCGGCCGTAAGTGTACCTATAAGCAGGCGAAGCAGGTGAGATGGATTTCTCGATGGCCCTCTTGCGACGGCGTTCTCCCGCCGTCAGGGCTGATCGCTCTGTCTCTGTCGCACTCACGGGGGGCATCAGGGCTCGGGATCAGTCATCGGCCGCGTCACCGAGACTGAGACGGCCCTCGGCCTCGGCCCTCGGCCCTGCACGGTGTGATGTCTGGACGTTAATTAGCAGGGCGTAGCAGGGCTGCTTTCTCGCAGTGGCGTGGCGCGGCGTGGCGCGGCCCGTGGGGTGGGTCAGGGATCCGACTCCCCAACGCGCTGCTCGCACGCGCCGCGCCGCGCCTCCGTTTTAAATGCCGTGACGTTGGCCAATGCTCCACTCGACGGGCAATCCACTCACCGCCGCAATTACGAATTACGAATTGCAGCGAGCATCGCGGTTACCTCCGCGGGGTGTGGGTACACTGTACCTCGGGCCGCGGCAACAGCGGCCGGCCTGCCGCGGGTCAAGCGGGCGCGGTGCTGCTGCCTCGCGGTCAGTCTAGGCCATTCGGCAGCTCTGTCTCTCTCGCACTCGTGGGGCGGTCCGACTGGTTCGAAGGGGTGCGAGAGAGACAGAGCGACGGGGCGCGGTTCGAAAGCGGCCGCAGCCTTGGCGGAATTCTGTTGCCGCGAGCATGAGCCATGGCAGGGCCCCCGCGCGGAGAAAGGCGGGGGCACCAGGATGACACGTGGGGCACGGGGCCCGCTGCCTGGCCAGGCACCCGTCGTCCGTCCGACTTTAACGGTGTTCATCACGCCTCCCATCACGGCCAGAACCTCCTTCACGATGAACTGATTAACGGTGGCGGGTCCTGCCGGGTGCTGCCGGCTTAGGTGGACCAGTGACACACTGCCCGAAGGACGGCGTGTCTGTCCAGGCAGCCCCTCGCCGTGGAAATGGAAGACCGGTCGGCAGCCGGACGGTTCAGAAGATCGCTCTGTCTCTCTCACACCCTTACGGACAGCCCCATGGGTGCGAGAGAGACAGTCGCACATTGTAGACGAGGAAAAGCGCCACCATCTCACCGGCGGCCGGATTAGGAAACGCTACGCTCCGCCAGCGCCATAAAACGCGGCTGCTAAGCGGAGCAAACAACAGGACGCGGCAATGTCATGCTCTGGGAACATTCAAGATGTCAATACGGGGAGGCGTATGTGACAGCGAGTAGTTTAGGACTGCAACGTAACAGCGCGCTGCTGACACACTGTCGCGTTCATCTTTTCATCGGGAGCCTTGGGGACGCGCAGCGCGCGGCGCGGAGTAGAAGACGAGTGGCTCCCGGAAGCGCAGCCACGTGGCGGACTTGAACAGGACGAAGGCTGGCCGAAGTGCGCGCGCCAGGCCGCTGCAGCAGGACGATTCCGACCACCTCTTCGTCGCTCTGTCTCTCTCTCTCGCACTCACGGGCTGCTCCGCATCGTCCGCATGAGTGCGAGAGAGACAGAGCGCGGCCAAGGCGGGCGGCGCCCCGGCTGCACGTACGAGCTACGCGCACTTTAGTCGCCAAAGCACACTCATGAGCGATGCCGCTTGCCTCGCCTAGCCGCACCGACACAAAGAGACGCGATTCGAAGTTTGGTCCAGCCGTGCCTCAATGATTCAACGCGTCAATGCCAGCGCGTGCAGACGCGTCCCGGCGCCACCCGGTGCCCTCCGTCTCTGTCGCACTC